GTTCATCTGGTGTTCCTGGAAGGAGCCACCTGTTTCTGAAGAATTGTCTTCTGATGAGATAAGAGCTATTTCCCCCAAGGCTTTGTTTGCAATCTAGCAGCAAATCCATGCTCCTCTTGCCAACCTCCGTTCTCCTCCAAGCATAGAGCTTCTGGGGTTTCACAGAATCACAGAGTGGTTTGGGTGGGAAGGGACCTCTCAAGGCCATCAAGGCCCCCTGCAGGGAGCAGGGACATCTGCAACTAGAGCAGGTTGCTCAGAGGCTCGGCCAGCCTCACCTGGAATGGTTCCAGGGGCTGAGAACAGCAGCCCACTGCACCAGGGCTGGCCAAAATATGAAACACCGTTGAGTTAAAATGCTCAAATCAATTGGAGAAGCTGGGAACGAGCCTTGGAAATCCATTCAATGCTTTTGGCCACTGAATGCCACCGAATGCTCAGCTGTCCCAGGGGAATTCAGGCAGCAAGGTGCCTTCAAGCCAGGAGACTGCCCACCAGCCCAGCTGCCTGGTGGGAACCAGCTCCTGGGATGAGCACTGCTCTCATCTTAGATGAGGTGTTCTAATATGGGATTCTAAAAAAGACCTACAGCCAGCTCTGCAAAGGGCTCAGCTCTGCCACAGCAGGACGAGGAGGGTGGGGACTGGAGATCAGACGTTCAGACAAAGGCAGAGGAGGCAGATGGGCCAGAAAGCGGTCTCAGAGAGTGGTGTCCTTGCCTGTACACCTTTGCTTCTCTCACCAGTATGTAGACTAGAACAAATCCACTAACTGGCACCCAGAACCTCTGCTCTAGGTACGGGCCCTCAGTACCGTGTGCCCCCTCTTCTGCTCCAGACTCAAGCCAAGAGCCACCACCATTTTGGCCAACCTGAAGTGAAGGCAAACACAACAATGCCCATTAGACTTGAAGGAAATGATTGATGTCACCAACATCAGCCCCAGGAAGTTGCTTCTTACCTCCCACCCACCTCTGTTTTGTCTTCCAACCCAATGTGCTCCAACCTGAAAAGCCACCATCTGCATCACTGCTGCAAAGAGCCCTGAATTTCTCAGGAAGTTTTCAGAATTTGGAGATGCAATGGGGAAGAGAGAGGCTTGTGAAGGGTGAAGGTCATAACTCCAGCAGTTACTGAGAAAACCAGAATCACAGCCTGTGGGCTGAGGGAAAGGGGAGCACCAGGAAAGCTTGTGTCCCCCTAGACACCATTGTCAAGTCCAACAAGCTGGAAAGCACCAAGTTACTCATCAGAAGAGTCGTGGGGAGCAACAAAGACACGGCAAAAGTCTCAGCAGCTGTGATAAACCACAGACCAGGCTGAGCAAAGCAGAGCTGAGCAGGGAACATGCCCATTTCCCATTTCTTCCCCTCCTCCTGGCACCCCATTTTTCCACAGCCACCTCCACAGGGTGACAGCAGTGTCCGGGGCAGCACCTGGAGCTTCTCTGGTACTTTTCTCCCCCCTCAGTCTTGAGCACAGTAAAAAACAAGCCCAAGGCAATTCTGAAAATTCACTTCTCTCAACCTGTAATTGAGAAAACCATTTAATAAAGTTACTTAAACCCCAAGCAGCAGCTGATGAATATGCATGTCCTGGGATTTACATTCTGTGGCAGTGTGAAGACAGGATGTCAGGCAAATGAGTTATGAGAAATGTTGCCTATGCAAATGCTGTGCTGGAACTTCTCACTGTAATTCTCATCCTTGAAGCCATTTTTGTCATCCACTGATTTGCATTGGAAATGTGGTAACTAAATAACGTAACTTTGCAGAAACGGCTCCTGTTTCTAGGATGGATTCCTAAATGTGTCTGTGAAAAAGTGGAGTCCTGAACTCGTGGCAGACAAAATAAATAAATATGGAAGTCCTGCCAAGGTCCTGTCAGGCCACAGGGTTCTGGAGGTCTCCAAAACAACGTGTCCTTTCTTCAACCTCCCAGTCCTTACCTGAATGAGGCTTATTATTGAAGAAGACACCCTAGACCTTCAGGAACAGAAAAGCTGCTGGTTTCACCCACAGCTTTATTTTCATCATTTCCTGCTTTCAGAGGGCGACCAGGAGCCCAGCCTGGGACAGCTGAGAGCTGCTGACTCCTTCAAGGGAGACACAGAAACACGTTCCTTCAGGTTTTGAAACCTGCTGTAGAATGGACTGAACAGTAAATTCTCTGGATTCTCTCAGGTTAGAACAAAGCTGCGTAACTGCAAGAGGAGAAAAAAGCCAGAAGACAGCACAGCTCACCCGCTCCAGTCAGGCTCCAGGTGACCAACATCCTTCTCCATTCCAAGAAGCCCCCAGTGGTCTTCCACCCAAGTCTGCTAATTGAGGGAAAAGACTGGAATGTTTTAAAGTCCCTCTTCAGCTGTAGGCACCTCAGTTTCAGATTCCCTCTGCTATTCATGCTCCAGAGGCCAACTCAATCTAAGAGAAGTCAAGGCACAACACACCTCTGTCCTCCAGGTGTCCCTACTTCAGGGGAGGCTTTGTGAATAATGGACTCAACCACTTGTGATGCATCCTGAGCAGAAAATCATTCATTCCACGAACACGCAGGTAAGCCTAGGAGTTAACCAAGGGCTTTGCTAACTGTGTTTTAAAGACACCTTTCCAAAGGAGCTGCTTTGATGGCAGAGCCTGCAGGACCTGACAAAGATCCCACCTACCCACCCATCCTCAGGCACCTGGAATCACAGGAATAGAGACTGGCCTTGCTGGCTGCTTTCAAAGCTCCCTCCTTCCCACATTACAGTGTCTGCTGAGGTCATAGTCAATGCCATTTTTATTTTATTTATTAATGAGATGAAGTTTCTTAGGGTTACTTAGGGAAGAGGGGAGATTTAGATTAGACATAAGGAAGAAGCTTTTCATGCTGAGGGTGGCGAGACACTGGCTGAGGTTGCTCAGGGAAGCTGTGGATGCTCCAACACTGGAGCTGTTCAAGGCCAGGCTGAATGGGGCTCTGAGCAACCTGCTCTAGCAGGAGACCTGTCCCTGCCCATGGTGGAAGAGTTGGAACTGGATTTCTTTGAGGTCCCTTCCAACCCAAACCCTTCTATGACACTATGCGTCAGCAAACAGATGCTTCTGGAGTAAGCGGGGCAGACCAGATATAAAAGTCCACGAGTGTCGAGGCAGCAAAATCCACATTTCTCCTTCTATAAAGAGTTCTGAGAGAGCCTTAAATACCCACCTCGGAAAGTCCCTGAACTTGGGTTAGTCCAGCGACCACTGGATGTCACTGTTGCTTTAGCCACGGGCACCGAGGCAGCCCTGCCCCAGCAGGAGGTGGGAAGTCACCCCAAAAACACACCCCACCACCGCCTGGACTCTTACCAGTGTGTCAAATAAATCTACAGCAACTCGTTTTCACTACACAGAAGTTTATTATGAAAGTTAAACATACAACACAAAAAGTAGCAAAAGCAATCCTGTAGCTTAAGGCAACTCTTACAGGAGATGAATTCAAGAAAGATGATGCAACTTCAGTTTAAATAGAAATTATGAAAAAATATCAAATTGCATCAAATAACTTAAAAATGCACTTTAAAAAGTCTGCGCTAACCAGCAGAGGGGGAAGGGCTTGTGATCTTAATGCCAGCATTAAGATATGGAAAGCAGCAGAACGCTAAATGATGATAGGGAAAGTTCAGTATTTACACCAGATAGCAACGTTAATATCTGATAGCATAATTTCCTGTGTACTTCTGGTTTAAAACCACTGTCTGAAACGTTAGGAAACCCTTTTAAAATAAAGCTTCAGACTATTCCATCAAAAAAACACAGATGGTGGAGAAGCTCTGAGGCAGGGGACACATGTGGATGCATAAGTAACTCATTGCAGACACACTTAGAAAAATTTGATCTTTAGGGGAAGAAGAGCAAGAAGAACACGTGGCCACAGAGTGAAAAAGGTTCTCTTTGAGGTGAATCACATTTAAATTGAAGTATCAAAATATTTCTATTTGATGACATTCTCACAGTTTACAGCTATTGACATTTTTAAGTGAATGTTAAATATTCATATTATTAACATACAAAGATTCTCCTTCACGTTGACGGCTGCTTCTATGTTTGCAAGACCTCTTTTGCCATGAATGAGGAAGGTAATTATTTGCATTATAGAATTTAATTAAGATTTAACTGTTCTAACCATACAGAGTTTCCACTTTTGAAACAATTCTTACAATACTCGTCAGATCACTTATTTTAAAAAGGTTTTAAGTGACATTTTAATTCATCAGGCTGCACAGGAAGCGCCACGTTTGAGCAAAGCCAATGCTACCCCATTTCCAATCGATTTTCTTCAACTGTTGGACGCAATGGAAAATTTGGAACCAGGCTATTCACCCACACTCCAAAAGAAACAAGGTAATTAGCACAGATTAACTCAGCCCAAGCTGTACTCCGTTAGAAAACCCACTGCAATGGAAGTCTCAATTTGCATCAGATGGACGAGAAGCATCCTATGCACAGTGTGAGATTTTCTGCACACCACCTCAGCTCAACCTCTCACCATTCAGCACAACTTTACAAAAAGCCTAAGACAGAACATACACTTCAAGCAGCTATCTGAAACGTGATTCAATACGTTATCACCTCGGCAGCTGATGTCTTTTGTCCCCAGTTTTAACATGCTGTTGGATCCCACTGTGGAGTTGCAGTATCCCTTTTAAGAACTAGTTAAAAAAATCCCTGAATAAAACAGAAGCCAGCCTGCGACTTCTTATGAGTTTCAGTAAAGTACTACAGACAGGGGTGTAACCCCCCAAAGTTGCTTGATACACAATAAAATCTAAGCCAGATACTGGGGCAGAATGGATTAATGCGTGAAAACACACTTGAAGATTTCATCATTTTAAAAAGTGGAACCAATGAATTGTTAGCAGTTAAAAGAATACTGCGACTGTACCGTTTACAAACCCCCACAGTCTGAAAACTGATTCCCACAGCTCTGATTCACTGGGTCTTGCTCAGAAATAATGCAAAATGACGTCAGCAGTTTTAAGAAGGTCTTGCAAATTTAGAAAAAGAGAAGACTGAAAGAAAGGTAAGAATGCGTATCTAAAATAAAGCAGGAGCACAAGAAGGACAATCAAAATTCCAAAAGCCCATATTAAAAAAAAAAAAAAAATGAAGCTTGGAATGCATTGGCTTCCAGCAGTTTACAAAAAAAAAGAAAACAACAAAAAAAACCCCAAAAAGTTTTAAATCTGTAACATCTTGCCCTATTTTGAAGTGACAATTTTTATTGGAGTTGAGAAAAAATGCTTTTATAGCTGCATAAGTTTCCATTTCACTACAATAGTGCCAACAAAAATAAGTTTGCATAGAAAAAAAAAAAACCAACAAATTTTCAAATTGCCACTGGCTACATGCTTAAAATGGGAAATGCAGGTATTGTAACATAAACATAGTGCAAACCATGGCAGTTCATGGTGACTGCGACTGCCGCAGGTCAGGAAACAGACCATAATATACCCAGTTATCACAGTTTCTGGTCTTTTATTAAATCCTTTGCCAAGTAGAAGCAATGCACGTGTGCAGCCCCACGGTATGCCTGCTGCTGCCGCTGCTGATTAACGTAGTTTGAGATCATCACCACTTCCTAGGTTAGAGCCAGGACTAGGGTCTTGCTGTCTTCTTGCCTGCATTAATAAACAAGGATTGAAGATCAGAAAAAAAATGTTTTGAAGTTCTAAGTTTACTTAATTTCTTCATTATATTAACGTGGCCAAGGCCACACCCAATTCTAAAGCAGCAACTTGACATTTCAAGCAGTAACCAATGCATTTGCCTTTAAAATAAAAATCATTCTTCCCCCCTCCATTCAATAATCCCCCCAAACCCCACAGGGATCTTGGAGGAGGGCTGTGGACCTGGCCATGGGCACCCTCCTCCCTCCAGAGGGGCAGAGAGCCCTGACTCTGCCTCTCCATCCAGCTTGGGGGAAGGCAAGGAATAGTTAGGCAACAACTTTGTGCACCTCCTGTGAAATCCCCTTCTGTTAAGCTTTTCTGTAAATTTTTCCAGAATCTAGATTTTGGGGAGAAAGGTTACAATGTCCTCCTCAAGTATATTTTTTTTTTTTTTATATGGGAAACATTTACTTCAGCTTTTCCTGAAAATAAAGACTTATAACATGGTGATACACCAGCACAATTTAATCTGTATGTTGGCACACATTTTAACACTTCTTATAAAGTAGGAGGTTTACTGCAGCATTTTTGTTTGCTCTGGTGCACCTGTAAAGTTAATAATACAAACCTGAGAAAACTCTGGTAGTTATGACTGCACCCCTGTATTGAAAAAAGAGTAATGTACATCCTACTTGGAATAAATGATTCTGTTAAACAGTTTGAGTTGCTGGCATTTGGGAAACAAAGGATAGCCAGCCACAGTAATATCACTCACAGTACAAGACAATCTCCTTTCTCTACTTGGACACAGGCAGGCTGCATTCAAGTAGCACACATACTTAAAAATATTAATATACTTGAAAATTTAAAGCAATTCTGTGATCCTGGTTTTTAAGACATTTTAATATTGATGCTTTTATTTAATGTCTATAGAGTGAAGAGCTGGCACCTTGGCCTGGAAGCACCACGTGGCCTGGAAGCCATCCCTGCACATGCATCACTTGGCGAGCTCCCTTAGATTCCCCAGCTCTGAAAATCCACCACACTCAGGGCTTCGAACAAATGCTCTCAAAAAAGAAAAAGCTAAACCAAGTGCCCACTTCCCTCCTTTGAAGGGCTTCTCGTGTTTTATTGGAAGAGGCAGGAACAGGCTGAAGGGGGGCAGCTGCGCCGCTGAAATCCGCGGTTTCGGCAGCCACCGCCGTCACGCCGCCCAAAAAGCTGTGACTAAGAGTGACAATGAGCTGTGACTAACGGCGGCAGGAGCGCTGCTGCGCTGAGGTGTTCCCCTGGCCCCTCTGACTCACAGCTGTGGACAGAGGGGAAGGCTCCCTGCCAGCACAGCTCTTGGCTGCCTCGCTCCCGCTCGGAGCAGCCGGTGGGCAGAGTCCGCCAGCTCCCAAACCCGCCTGCATCTGCTGCCCACAGACTTCTCCAGTTTCAACTTTTCTTCCTCAGTTCACTTCTTCCTCCCTTATTCACCGTTCCTGCCTGTTCCTGCCTAGTTCTATGCCCCCAACGCTTCGCCCGAACGGAGAACTGTGGCTTCCTGCTGTTTAAATATCAATTTTAAGTTAGGTTTTCCGTTCGCTTGCAAGGATCCTATTCTGATGCACAGAGAGGTGATTCAATAAAGCCCTGTAATATAAGAGCCTTACATATAAAATAACCAGCATCTTTCCAGAGAAGACAACTCCCTCCTGACTTTCTTTAGTGACCCTAGCGCTGTTGGTTTGGAAACACCCTCCCTAGTTTAAATACCACAATTCTTACCTACTACATCTACATATCCAGTGCCATTGGTTGTATTTTAAATATTTAGGGTTGAGATGCTGACCTTGCTCTCTTCTACCAGCACTGGACATACTCTGAAAGAAACAATCTACTTCTCCTACACACCGAAGAACCGTGAACGTGACAGCCAACATCGCTGCTGGTGCACAAACCCACAGATTTCTCGGTAATCTTTCTGAAGAATCGCATTAAAACGAACGTCGCTGATGGTTTTAAGTGCTGAAGGGCGTACTCCTTTCAGCTGCTGAAGCAGCTTCTGCAAACTGTAGCAGTGCAATACATGGGGAGACAGAACTTAGCTGAGATTTTCATATCATTTCCAAACGTCAAGTAATTCAGCTTTGACTATCAAGACTACTGTGGAAAGGTTAAGGAGGGAAAGCACGTGGTTTTTTTTTTTTTTTTTTTTTTCCATCAACAGAAAAGTAAACTGTGCTGTAAAGATTTTTCTTACCACAAAATGGTTGTTCAACAAGTCTGAATAGATACTTCCACACCGACTGAAGAGCCGTGCTAAGATTAACAGAAGGATGAGAGTTCCACTTTACATACTTCTCCCCTACTGAACAGACTGTAACAAGATTTCTTCTGCTTTTAAACTGCTCTTTCCTCTAAAAGGAAACAAAGGCACTGTCTCCAAGAACTACCAGAAGTCTTACTTATACCAACTCTGTACTCGATAAACCTTTTTGCACTTAACTAGAAAAATCAGCAAGTTAATTGCTGTTTTACTACTGCTCTAAAAGCAACAGTGTTTCTTCTTCAGAAAACAAATCATATATACCCAGCAATTTTGTTGTCAGATTCCAGTGAAAGCTCCAAGGTATTGGCATATGGTTGCATTTATGCTTTGCCTAAAGTGGCCTTTTCTTTTAAAACATATGAAAGAATTCACATGATTCATGACCTCACTGCTACTTGTAGAGTTTGCAGAAGCCACTACTGAAGAACTGCCAGATTTACCCTTTCAAGTGATGCACAAAATGCATGACAAATCACCCTCCAACGGACCGAAAGCAGTCATTAAAGTATCTTAACACTACTCCGGGCAGATAAAGGTGTAATTTTGCATTTCACTAACTGGGGATTTACACAAGCAACTGCAGCTTGTTGTAGTGATAGCTCCGTCTCCCTCAGACACCCTCCTTTACTCATGCTGTACTACTATGTGAGAATACATCCACATGAAACGTGTTCTCCTCAGCTGCCATCCTGCCAATGTGCATGCACACGCTATGGAACAACTACAACCATACTCTACACGCTGAAAAGAAAGATGTAAGGTCATCATGCATGTATCTAAAAAGTAAAAAACACTTGTAAGAGACAGGAGAAATCACCTTGTATGTAGCCAGCAAGGACACTGCAGAGCAGCAGGCATTGGGATTCGTTTTTGTCCACTGACCAGGTGCAAAAACACAGCTTTCTTAAGAAATGCCACAAGATCCATAACACTCACAAGAGGAGTGTGAAAGTCGCTATGGTAGGATCTGGGAGTTCTCAGTCCATTACAGGAAGCTGAAAGTTCCCTTTTACAGATGTAAAATGGCCATGTCCAGAATTCTCTCAAATTTGGGGTCCCATTCTCTGCACATAGCTAGTCCATCCTCCGAATTACAGGACTTGCTGTGATTTTTGCAAGGCGTACCTTATGATGTCATGGAGCAGCATCAGAATTACTCTTGGTGAATAATGAGCTCAGCTTCTCCAAGATTAAGGAGACTGGTTTCAATTAAGAGAGACACATCTATCTTTGCCACTGGGAAATGGAACGCCCTGGCACAGGTCACAGGCATGACGAGTCACGTGAAAACGGCAGCTATTCATCTTACCTTGGTGCGTTTCATTTTTCACTCAGATGCTGAGTTTAAGTTTGCAGGAGCACTACTTTGAATGTTGCCCACTTGGTATTTAGTGCAAGGGTAACAAATATCTGCTTGTGGGCAAAGCTTGTAAATAGTACCTAGATCCCACCGTAGCTGCCATTTTCCTAAAAATGACAATATTTCACCCAACACCAACAGTTTCCTTCCAAACATCCTGAAGTCGAATAGTTAATGCGACACACATCAGGAGTTTCAATATCCCAAAATACTCCACACTCAGCTTTTAGCACACGAAGCCATGCAAATCTTCTGCAATACGGAAGGAATTAGAACTGGCCCCAAGCCACTGAAAACCACTGACTCTGGAGACGATACGATGACCGCCTGAAAAAACTGCAGGAACATATTTGGCCAAAAAAAAAAAAAAAAAAAAAGACTTCAAAGCCTCCTGTAGCATTGAGATTTTAGATTTATTCATGCTGAACTCGACGCTGACATCATGTAATAACATACTAACTAGTAAAAGTTACTAACAAAATCATTTTGATTTGAGCATCAGCACAAGTATCCCCTGCAACACTTACACCGGTGCTCTTCTTGAGCCCTGAGATCTCAAGAGCTTTTCCCAAGCCCAAATACAGGGTATGGGGCTAAAAGTCCTATCAGGAGTATGATGCAGTAATCACTATGATCATTATGATATTTATTATGATGCAGTGATCACTATAATTATTATATTTATTATGATGCACTGTTACATTTATTTTCTCAATAGATCTTGAAATCATCAAATCATGAACCTAGAACTGTGACTCTCTTGGACAAGGATTATCATGGAACATTTACATCTGTTACTGGGACACTTATGAAAACAAACAAAAAAAAAATCTAAGAATAATGTTAATTAAGGAAGAAGGCACACAAGCAGTTCCTTCAGCAGCCAGGACAGTCAGACCCCATCCTCATCCTACTCCGGCCACTCAATACTGACCCTGATGCAGTTGACTGTACTTTCAACAGTGCCAATAAAACTCCTTAACCTGGTTTTGGGAAAACATTTGTAACTATCCCCTCCTGTGTGTGTTCAGAGGTCTCTGACATACCTAAGGAAACCAGCTCCTTTGATCACACGAGAACATCCAGAAAAGGTAACGCAGTCCCACCGTGTGGTTTACACGACAGCTCTGAGAAAGCAGAACTGGTAAAGCTGGAGGTAAGGTTAGTAAGGATGGACAGGTTTGCCATCAATCACCAAAACACAGCAGGCAAAATGGGAATCTCTGAATCCTAAGCAGTGGAATCCCAACTGCACCAATATCTGTCTAAATAACTTGGGAGCACTGACAGAGAGGAGGGAAGGCAGATGGAGAAGATCTGAAGAAGGGCTCT